AGACGTTCTACAAGGAAAGAAATTATGAACTTGCTAAATCTACGTACGTCATTCAGTTAGCAATGATGCTGAGAGATTGGGCATTCAATATGAAAAAACTTAGACTAAAGAGTATATGTCATCAAAACCATGTGGAACCCTACCGCCAAAATATTGCAAGGTTATGGTTTTCTGAATATGGAATCATTGATGCTTTCGCTGATATTATTTTCAATGACGCGAAAGATGTAAGAAATGCCAAAAAGAAAGAGTAACAAAGGCAAACAAAAAAGAAAACAGAGTTCAAGTCCCCTGAGTAAAAACAACAGAAAACATTATAAAAATGGCAAAATTATGAAAATTGAAGGCTGTGGACGTTAAATTGAAAATTATGATTGTCTTTGATACATTCAGCCGCGTTGGTGTTTGAAACGTCAAACTTTCGAATTTTTTGAAAAAATTTCAAAATGGTTTTCTATGTGGAACATAAAACATTCATGATTGAGTCCGTAACGGAGTTGCCAGGCGAATGACGTTATAGCAGTGGTAGTGTTTGACAAGAATTGCAACAAAAATTTCCAGACTTTAATTTTATCGTTGCTGATTTTTACAACGTTGTTAGAAACACTGTACTAGGATTTCGTGAAACAAGTAGTGTCTACCACAAAAAAGGTGCTGGACGACCAACATAGAAGATGTTGAAGAACCCATGGAAAATAATCCATCAACTTCATTGAGGCATCTGTCGCAAGAAGTTGGACTTTCCGTGGGTACATGTGATAAAATTGTGAAAAAAAACTCCACCTTTTCCCGTACAAACTTCATACCTATCACGAACTTTTGCCGGCTGATTTTAATAGACGTATTGCCTACTGCAGATGGTTTCTTGAACATCTCAATGATGATAACTTGCTGAATTTAACATTCTTTTCTAGTGAAGCTTGGTTTCATCACTCCGGTAGTGAGTTTGTGTCAATTTGAATCACAATTATGAGAATTTGTTTTGTAGGTTATGTTAACTCTCAAAGTATGAGATGTTGAAATGTTGAAAATCCACTTGTCTTTCGTGAAACACCACCCCAGCCTGTTAAAATTGGTCCACGGTACGCAATGTCTCGCAGACGTATCACTGGACCCAAATTCTTTGAGGAAACTGTGACAGCACAAAGATATCGAAACAATATCCTAACTGCTTTTGTTCAAGAGTTACAGTATGATGAACTCCAAGACGGATTTGTCCAACATGACTGTGCCACGGCCCATACAGTAGACAATTTGACTTTTACGCGAATTCTTTGATGATAGAGTGATAAGTTTACATTCGGTTCTTGAGGACCCCCCAAGATCACCAGATTTAACCCCTCTGGATTACTTCTTGTTCGGTCATCTAAAAAACATTATTTTTAAAACTCGCATTGACACCATAGAAGAACTGAAAGATAGAATTACCGAAGAGTGTGTTCGCATTATTCCTGCTACACTACAAAATATGTTTGATAAAAAACGTGTCAATTTATGTATACAGAAGAATGGATACCACTTCCAACAGTTTCTGTTTTGTTTTCGCCTTTTAAGTAAACTTATTCACAAATCCGCAGAAGTTATTTTCTTTCACTAGTTTTTCTAGTTTTCAATAAGTAAGAGCTAACTTTCGGTTGTAAATTGATTTTTGTCAGTATGTAACCAACATTACACATGTGTTTTTTAACATAATTTAAAATGGACCCAAAAATTGATATCAAAGCGAAGTAACTCAAAATAATAATTCCTTGCAGTTCCTATTCAAGTCCTAAAATAATTGATATTAATTGTGTTTTCAATGACGACGCTTTTTTACTTGTTAAAAACCGTTGTTTTTGTGGTCAATTAAAAAAATTGTTTGAATTTGGTATTTTTCACATCTGTTGACATGAAATTATCTCATTACATTCGATCTATTCATTTCTAGCTGGATACATTTTTATTTGACGAACTCAATCAATTTACCCTTCGACAATTTTACTCGAAAAACTACCCTGCAGGATCTGGAGATTTTGACCGCAGTTTTTTTCGTCAAATTGTCAGGCAAATAGATTTCGTTGAACAAAAAAATGTATCCAGCTAAATGAATAACACTTATGTTATGTAGGTAATTACAGTCGATTCTTGCCAAAACACAGTTCGCTGCATAAATTCCACATGAGAACCCACATGCATCATGCCCTTTAAAAGTTGACCGAAATTCACAATTCATGTGGGATATTAGTTTTAGTCGTGTATTTATGGCTTCCAAATTGTATATGTACATTCACTCGTGTTGAGATTAATTTGATCCATTATCATATAGAAAGCCAATTATGATAACCACTGATGTTGTTTGCATTAATACCGCTTAGTTATATTTTGTATTAAATATTCGTTTATCGTTTGCGAATTTCATGTCGGGTGAAAAATAAAACCTTCCATGCATGCTCATAAAGCATCATCATAACCATATATGGGAAAATAGAAATTATAATCAAAACAAGTTCCAATCAAGTACTTGTCACACAAGGCTAATTTATAATACCAAACATACATTTCCTTGCTGTTACAGAAAGATTTTTTCATAGTTTGGCAGGTTCAATTCCACCATACGACCATAACTTACTCCTTTGCTCGACTTTAATCCCCTTATACTGCGGCAAAAAACTCTATTCTTGGTTTCAGCATCTCGCCAATTTTATTTATAGATACTAATAAAAAAGCAACGAAAACATTACCAGCAACAGCTTTAATTATGTATTCCTCAAGCCATCGATCTCGCACCTCCGTCGGCCGCAGACCGACCGGCAACGCGCACACAGGCCGGTCCATATCTCTTCCTCAATTCATTTAGCCAATTAAACCGCAAAAACTCGCCCAAAAAGTACGATATTAAATTAAGACTCGACAATACAATTTCAATTAAACTGAAAATTGCATAACCGTAAACCGTCGGCAAGCATACGGTTATATTCTGGCAAACAGTCGATGTGTAGTGTTATTGTATGTGTGAGAGATGTGCGAGGTGGGCGTGCGGACATTTAACAAAATGAAAAGCCGGCCCCGGTCAGCGGCTGCTTTGATCTCACTAATGTCTGTTTTCATCAACCAGATCCTACACCTGATTTCGGTCCCATTGAAACAGAGCGGCAAATTTCGGAATTCCGAGCGGCTCGCGCGACCCACAAAGGCCCTTAATTAAGTCGTGCGGGTAATAAAGCTACCATATTACTAAATTTCTACGGAAAATTGACCAGGCAATTAATTAAATTTAACACCATCGCGGTGGTCGAGTCTTAAGTCGACTGTAAAGATGTCCGTGTTACTACAAGAGTTACGGTGTTTTACAGGAACATTTGTAGTAAAACTACACTCGAAAACAAGTACGAGAAACCCGCGCCCAGGCTAAATACGTGACCAAATGGAAAGTGAAATTTTACGAAAGCTGCACGTCAGAGTAAATTCATTTTTAGGACTGAAAGTTCATTGTGTTAAAAGGGGCGCTTTACTCACTAGAGAATAAAAATAATAATGCTTGGTAAGGAGTAACACTAGGTTTCTTTAGTTCAAATTCATGTTTTCGCCTAGTTTGTGTTGGCAATTTGTATAACTTTAAATTATCTTCTTTAACTTCCTTTATACTATTTTAAAATGATAATAAATTAATAATAAGCGCAACTCTTTCTTCACGGTTTAAAGACCTGCGTCATTACTATAATTAACGATAATAGAGTTCTTTTTTTTTTCCGAGTATGAAACCACAAAACATTTATTTTTATTTAGCGACAAAAGATTATTGTTACACTACTCAACGACAGTGTTATTAAAATATTGTCTCGAAGAATCATGCAATCTTGAGTAGTTTTGACCTCAATAAACATTTTGAGATCTTCTACAAACAACGGCTTCTCAGACAATATATACCATTGTCCAACAATGTCATTGGTAAAAAATAAAACTAACAGTGGCCCTAAAGTAGAACCCTACGGAACTCCAGATATAAGCGAATAAGAATTTGAAAAAAGTTACTGTTATCAACAGACTGTGAAATGTATTGTGAAAAATAATCCAGATTTGTCACAGTCGATCTCTTTTTGACAAAACCATATTGGTATGTTGTTATAAAACATTTTACAGATGAATAAATTTGCTAATAGATTACTGATTCAAATATCTAGGCAAAAGTACATTACAAAGTTACTGAACTGTGTGTATTCTTCATATCAGCTATATCTCTAGAATTAAATATAGAACAAATGCACGACTTTTTCCAAGTATCTGGTGTTAAATATTTTAAAGAGGGTAACCACGCAAATCTGTGCAGTCTTTGACCAACAATGATATCTTTTTCAGACAATTTTTCCAAAATGTTGTGATTTTGAAAATTCCATTATGTTCTCAATACTAAATGACAGACTTACAAAGCATGGGCACAATACCACCAGATCCCTGTTTCCTTGGTTGGCACGCAAAAGCACAAAGCGTCCCAAATCCAAATCCAATTGTGGCAACAATGAAAAAGATCCTTGTGTCCACTATTTAAATTCCTACAATGAACTCGTACTTTTTGTAAATAAAACGGGGTGGTCCTTCGAAAAAGAAGCTCTTCATGGTGTTTGGGTAAGCGTTCATGCACTATTGAGCAATTTTCTGTCCAATTCGTTTTTCACAATTAGTCGGAAAAAATCCTGATGGATTTTATTAAGCGAAGAATGTTTTGCTGCCCTCGGAGCACAAACCTTGACCAGAGCACCATCTGAATCGAGCGGCTCCACTTCACAAATCATCAGGTGTTATTAGGTTCATAAATCCAGCGGTCATATTTCAGCTTTTTTCTTCTCGCGTCGTTTGTTGCATTTTTAGGCACCCTTCGCGCGTTACAAAGTCGTCGAAATTCGTGTTATTTCCTGTCAAATAATATAAGCGCGAGATTGGAATTGTTTCTTTGAAACTGCGGCTGCAAAAATATTGTGTGCAACTCAACACGCTGAGGTTATTAAATTCTTAAATGGTTGCAGGCCAGGGCCGCGTTAATCAACTTGGCGGGGTGTTCATCAACGGACGGCCTTTGCCCAACCACCTCAGATTGAAGATTGTCGAAATGGCGGCGGCGGGAATTAGGCCTTGCGTCATTTCGAGGCAGCTGAGGGTTTCGCACGGATGCGTTTCGAAAATTTTGAATCGCTATCAGGAGACCGGCAGCATCAGACCTGGAGTCATCGGGGGATCGAAACCGAGAGTGGCCACGTTGGAAGTGGAAGCGAGGATAGAGCAGCTGAAGAAGGAAGAGCCTCAAATATTTGCTTGGGAGATTAGAGAAAGACTTATTAAGGTAAGGCTGTTATCACTTACTAAGTTTGCTTTTAAACAGAGACACAACACATTTTTCAGTTCTGAAATTCTATTTGTTATGAGAAAACTTCTTTTTCTTTCAGTATAAGTATGAATTCATTATTCAAAATTATTTTCAGGTATCTTATATTATATCCAAAAAGCTTAAAAAAATTTTAGGATGAATCTGATGACAGTTTCTAATTTTTCACGTTTTTTTGATCTATACCTATCTAAAACAACATTTTTTTAATGAATTTTCTAGAACTTGGACTTGTGAAGTTGCCTAGTTATGTTTTTAATACAATCATAAGTATCATTTGATTTTATTAATTTTAAAAATTGTGGATAACATTGGTTTTTATGTTAATAAAAACTTTGACATAATAGTAGTAGTAGAAAATGAATGAATTCCCCTGAAAACGAAACATTCTAATTAATAATGCATACATAAATAATTCATGAAATGAATAAGTGGGTGTTATTCTTGAATAAAAAACAAACAACATTTAGCCGAGAGGTTAATATGCACATTTTAGTTTTTGCGATATCTCACTTTTCTTTACAACTTATTGAGAGACGTATTAAAGTCGTGATATACGTTATGTTCGTTCCTTTATGTCCTTTTATCTATCATTATGGTTTTGTTCGCATTTATCTTCAAGTTTCTTGATAATGCTTCTGTCAATTGTTGGACATTTCTTTTCTTGGGGCGACTGACTACTTTTATGTTAACCCTACGTTTCTACGTTTCATGACTCCTAGAGTACGAAAAAATAGGTCTCCCGTTTCCGTCTGTCTCTCTGTGTAGATTTGTATTAGACAGATAATCTCCGAACTATCGGGTAGATTGTTGGCAAATTTTATATGTATTTTAACAATGTGTGTAGATGATAAAACACTTACAAAATTTGGCTAATTATCCCTACCAACAATTTGATGACGTCATCGTAAAAGTTTCTATTATTATGCTTTGTCGCCTCTTCTGAGGTGTTGTTCGAGAATTCTTTCATAAAATTTGGATTACAAATTAATTATCCAATTTTCTTACAAAGTGGCATAGGTAATGGTGCTTACTTTCCTTTGTTTTGGTATTCTTTCCTCCTTTTTTTTTATGTTGATGTTCACACCCACTGCGTTCTCTTAGCTTAGCTTCCTTAATTTCTTCGGCTTATTTATGTTCTGTCCTCTAGTTGCTGTTCCTGTTGCTAGTTTATTTCATTTTATATTTTTTTTCATTTAAAAACTTTGGAAATAATTTTCACAACGCTCCTTTACATTTTTACCTGAATTTGTTCTTTATTCGTTTGTACTACAACACATTTTGCGCTGACAAATTTTGGTTGGCGTTTTACAATTTGCACGATACTCTTAAAGTAAATACATATAACAATGGACGTCAATCGGTCCAGTAGTTTCAGAGATTATCTGTCGTCTAGATCACAGACAAACGGAAACGGGGGACATAGTTCTTCGTACTCTAGGGGTCTAGAAAACATGAAAGCAATCATTCGCTGGATTGTCCTGTCGAAATACTTCCTCAGCTCATGCTCGGGAAGTAAAAATTCTTTTTAATTCTTCTTCTAATTGTTCTTTTCATATTATATATTTACTCCATTTGTTTACACTTGGCGAATATCTGAAAAGCTTATTTTTATTTTGAGCAAACTATCTTTCCAAAATCATTCTTAATTTCTATCTCTTTTTTACTTTCCAAGCTGTTTTATAATTGTAAATAGCGCTCATATGGTAAATGGCTAGTTTCAGGTTTTATCGATGTTTCATTGCTATTACCAAGAGAACAATAAAACACATGATCAACGACAGCCATGGATTTTTGAAATCTTTTTTCAACTCATCCTTTCATGACTATCTCTGATCGTGTTTTTACGGCTCTCTTCGTATAAAATGAAAAAGTAGGTCCTCGTTTCCGTCTCCCTATCCATCTCATTAGACACAATCGCTGAAACCGCTCTACTAATTATTTTAGATGTATTTTAACACGGATATCGCATTAAAATGGTGCCTATAATAAAATTTATCGTAGAAAATACAAAACTGACTACTAAATCTAGCAGATGCTTTAAGGTTATCGCAATCATGGCAAATCTCTAATCAAAATTTCTTTGTTTGTACCCTTTAAAAACTTGATGACGTCATCTCAAAATTTTAATAGACAAATCCTATCTAAAATGTACAACTGTGCCCTAAATTTATGGTTTAGGTTGTTCGAAAAGAATCCAAAATTATTCAAAATTTTACTATTTCTTTTTTATATACAATTGATCAAAAATTTAACGCATTTTTTACGATTACAAATCAAAGGTTGTCTAGCCTTCCCTACCAAAATTTTGATGACGTCACTTCAAAAGTTTGCTAAGTAATTTTTGTAAAAATTTAGATTTGTGTGAGCATATTTCAGTTAGCGGTGATTTTTTTGGCATTACGTCAAAATGTAAACCCAAACAATTTCTATCCACAATATTCTACATTGTGAAGTCGTCTAAATCTGTGAGTGTAATAGACGATTTGAATTAAAAATTTTTAAGTACTAAAACTTTATGCCTGTAAGTGCTGAGAACTCTGACAGCAGAAAATAAGTTCATTGCTGCACAAAATTTCAACACATTTTGATACGATATACATTTAAAAATAGTAAAATTTTAGGTATACAAAAATTACAGAAAAGTGTTTTTTATGCACTCTTGAGATTTTCATAGTCTCTAAATCTTATGGCAAAATTTCCATCGTGCGAAATGTGTCTCTTTCCGGCCAGTTGTCTAATACAGATATTATTTCTACCGGTGTTGTTTGATCTTAAATTTTGTTTGTGTGTTGTACCTCGTTTGATACCATTGTGTTGTCTACGTTACAGGAAGGAATTTGCGACAAGAACTCCGCTCCATCCGTGAGTTCCATCAGCCGACTGTTGCGTGGAGGCAGAAAAGAAGATCCCGACAGAAAGAACCATTCGATCGAAGGTATTCTTGGTGAGCGCAATTATGAAACCCTTCTTTAACATAAAATACGTGGGAAAACCTCAAAACGGAAAATATTCACTCCTCTCGCCATCAACGAAAGAACAACCGACGTTGTTTGTTTTAGAAATTCTTTAAATTAGTGTAAAATCAATCACTCGCCGATACGCGACAAAAACTGTCACGGTTATTACCTCAGTAATCTAGCGAGACCGTTCGGCATTACCCAGAAGTAATTCGAAAAATACAGCGAAATTCCTAATTTTTCAATTAACGCCAATAACCGCAGCATTAGGTCGATCGCTTAAGTTTCCGTAAAAGTCGTTTTTTCGCGCGATTTTTTCTCGCGCTTGTCGGATCCGAAAAAGCATGACCGGAGCGAACAAATTGATTTATTGAATAAAACAGAGCGGCATGATAGCGATGGGGCGGTGAAAAAACTCGTGCCAACTCAACGTTAAAATTGACAGAAAATTTTATCACACGTAATTTTTGGACCTCACAAGATGAGCCATGACGCAACACAAAAGAGCAACACACCACGTCCACGTCGGCATAATGACGGTTCATTTTATTATTACCACATATTAACTTCATTGAACCCGTTGATCTTCTCCCGTGATTGATTTTTATTGCACCTTAATTAAATTTAACGGCGGCTTCCAGCTACCAATTTTTTGGAAATTGCACCGCCGGCACGGATTTCTCTTCGGGGACTTCCGCGTCGGGCTTTTACATGCCTTTCAGAATGTCGAGCTGGCATCTGATGGGGCTTAAACCTGAGAGTGTGTGACAACTTTTTACTTTTTTCTTTCTGACTGAAGGGAATTTTTTTACACTTGCTAAGGGTGAATTATAATGACTTTTAATCATTTTTCGCTTTGCGACAGTGAAACGTGCATTTCGGCGAGTAACGGATGTTTTGAATTAGTGGGTAATGAAGCTCCTAATTTGTATAATTTGTTGCAATTGCGTCATATCTTTATACTAGATAACTTATTTTGTGCTGTACTCCATCACTTTGTGTTACATGACATAAATAAAGTCACTTATCATCACACTATAAAGATTTACATGATACTGACATATTTGCATTTCAAAAGCTGGGAAGATCATATTCATAATATGTATTAAATTAATGCACACCGCAAGCAATAAAACCGGCATTATCATAATCACGTATAATTGCAAGGTTTAAGGTATGCTGGTTTTTAGCGTTTTTATGCATTATTGTTGGCGACTTACCATGTCTTAACAATCCTTATACCCAAGGTATGTGCGTTTGTTTTATTTTCGCCATAAAACCCAAGCGGGATAAGAAAAACCGCTTGTTCCGCACGATTTTCGTGCTTAATTTTCTAGTTAAAACGAAGATAAGATTTACAGAAACCTTGTATCAATTAACGCTGCGTGTTCCAATTTTTCAATTTCTGTACCTTAAATTTAAATAAAGATGTCCGTTTGTTTGTGGAACGAAAATAATTTTGAGTTATATCACAACACATACAATTCGATAAATCTAATAGAAGCGCTCAAATTTTCAACACTAGAGTTTATTTTTTGTTAACAAAGACACCGTTGAATTTTTCAGTCTATTAATCATTTTGTCAGACGTGAATAATTCATCTGAGCGATGAATGGGCCATACCGGGATCATTTCCATATTTATTACAATTTCCATATAAAAAAGTAAGCTTTCAACTACCAACAAATACTAATAATAGTTGTGATGTACATAAAAAACCCAAATAAAATCGTGGCAGCACAAAAGAAATCTTCATTTCTCAATCCGTTACTCAATCACTGATGCAATAAGTTCTTCGTTTATGCAAAACGTACAAAAAGTAGCACTTCACAACATCCCGGGTAATTATTTTGCAAAATATTATTTATATTATTAAATTGCCGCTATTATGGTACTCGGGCGGTTATTAAGTCTGCCCGCTTTTTTTTTCTTTATTCGTAACCTGGATATGTGTACTCGTCGGTGAATTCATTAGCAATGGACCCGGAGGGTAGCCTTGAGGCATGCGAATCGTACGATCTTTGCTCTTATTCAAAAAAATCGCATTGTGGATGGATGAAGAACAATCAATCACGTCCGTGGAAACAAATTAAATGTAATTAATTAATTAACGTTAATTGATGGTCCGCTACCGCGCTCCCCACGTTAAATTTATTAGAAGCGAAACGCTTCGAGTTGATCCCGGCTCTTGTGGCCACACATAATTACAACATATAATCCATCTTAATAATTGCCAGGGAATGAGAGCTTACGCGAACATACCGTCGCTGTTTTACGCTTTTTGTTGGTGTGTGTGTGCCAATACCTTGACCGCATAAATTTATAAACATGGGTTCCAGTGAAAATTTCGATCAGAATTTTTGAATATTGAAGACGTACGACCGCCTTACGAGTTTGCTCGGTTGAAACGTATCTAAACGACACTGAAAATTTCAACAAACTGTTAAAACCATTTCAACAGCTACGTTGTAATGTTCTTACAAATGACCTAGTCCTAGTTGTTGCGGATTAAACTAAAAAAGATAACTTCTAAAACAGGTTGACTATTTGTAAAAAATTTTGGGTGTCAGGGGGACAATAAGGTGTTTGGTATTGTCATTAATAATCAAGGCGGATTCATAAACCACAAGTGTAGGAGTATATTATTTTACAAATTTAAATTTTGAGGTGACCCCAATAATGTGTTGGTAAGGATGATTAGACAAATTTTGGTTAACGTTTTACTATCTACATGGTATTCTTAAAGTACGTATAAGATCTGACAACAATCGATCCAGTAGTTTCGAAGATTATGTTTAAAAAAATCGATACAGACGGCAGACGGAAACAGGAGAGTTATTGTGTCATACTGTAGAGTAAGTAAACTCAGGAACTCTTTTTTTTGACAATTACGGTAGACTCAAATCTCAAACCGCATCATTTAATCTTGGTTGAATTGTTAAATTCAAAAAAGCTGCCGTTTCGAGACGAGTAGCAAGAAACAAATTGGCATGAACCATTTTGTTCCTATTTCGCTATAGAAAAATTGCTCAAACTCTTTGTATTGACCCCTTTTCTGATTATTGATTAAGCTAATTCTTAATCACTTGCGCTCTACAGATAAACAGGGGAAATAGTAATCTTTGCCTTTGTTCATTGTTTTCTATTAAACTTTATGTCTTTTCGCTTATTTCGCCTATCTTAGCAATTAAATGTTCTCTAATTGTCCTTTGTTTCAACCTATTTTACTGTCTTGAAAGCTACTTTTAAATTTTTAAAATACTATTCGTATTATTTATACATACACAAGAGTGTTAACATACAACACACCATGATTCACACACTGAGTCAATTCTATTTAAGTGATCCTTTTTACTTCCTGAGAATAATCCCTACTTTCAGGTTTTCTCGACGTATCATGACCCCTAGAATATGAACAAATTTATATCCCGTTTCCGTTTGTCTGTCTGTTTGTTTGTTTGTTTGGCGTCTATGTCGATTTTTATTAGACACGTAATCTCCGAAACCACTGAACTAGTTGTCAAACTTTATATCTGGATTGTAGATGGTAAAACGCTAATCAAAATTTGGGTAATCACGTGTTGAGTTTTTACCCAAGTCATCCAGATTTTTGAAAAAAAAATCAAAATTGTATAGTAACATTTTTTAATTTAACTTTCAAACTGCAACACCGAATGCTCTGAAATCCCGCGAACGTTTTAAGATTATCGTAATCATGGTAAATTGTTAATCAGAATTTATTCTTTTAGGCCCTTCCAAAAAATTGATGACGTCATCTCAAAATTTTGCCTAATAAATCTTCTCCGAAATATGCAAAACATTATGAATCTACACTTGTGGTTTCTCAATGCACTCACAGTTTTTGCAATTATATTTATACAGGGTAACTCAAAATAATGAATGAGGCATTTTTTTAATTAAATCAAGAGCGACTCACTCCATCTAACCAAATTGATATACGTGTCCTTGTAAAAATGTTGATGACGTCATCAGAAAATTTTGTAATGGAAAAAACCACTTTTAACATTACTTACATATTTTTACATAAAAAACTAAAAATTCGTAAAATGAAATTTTGGAATTTTTCGAAAAATTTGGATTTATTGTATTGTACTTCAGGGGCGAGGGAAATTCCGTCAAAATAAACTTTGAGCAGTTTTTTACCGTTTTGTATAATATATGATTCAAAAAGTTTCTCACAGCCTGTCCGAATTGAGGTGCTTTTCTACTCGGCGACCGAACTGCGGTACAAAATTTTATAACTACCTTATAATTCCTGACCGAACTGCGGTAAAATTCTTAGTTAGGGTTTACACTGTCAGGTGCCTAAGTGATGGACACAGTTATTTTAACACTCAAAATTTTGAATCAAGAAGTTAATAATAATTTAGTAGACTACACGAATATGCCTATTACATCTATTTTCAAATTAGCTACCAGTAATGCACGGGTGGTACGTCAGATTCACAAAATTATATCCAAAAATTTCGTAATTTTTATATTCGATAGTTTTAGATTCTACGAACCACATCTTTTTCAACATTTCTTTTTACGTTTTTATGTAAAAATGACAGTTTGTTCCTTGTGTTTAGGTAAAAATAATTTGGTTTTCCTCAAGATTTAAATTTACAACACCAAATGATGTTTCTATTTTTCTTTGAATCTATTCAATTACTTTAAATGCCGTAGATCAATTGGCGTTTGTACTTATTGTCATTCCTGTCATTGGTTTTTAATATACGATATCCACGTGTGCTTTAAATTAAGCCATACGCCTTCTAATTTTTTTTTTTTTTTGCACAGATTTCTGAAATGAGAAATTTTCTTTAGTTCTTTGGTTATGATTGGTTCAAAAGCAAAGAGACGTATAGGAGAATTCTTTTAATTTTGGCAAGGTGTAGAAGTCGCAACTGCTGTCATCGCAACTTCCAAAGCATCGGTACTTCCGATAACCCAAACTTAGCAAAATTTTGCGATGACCTCATCAAATTTTTGGAAGGCTTGAACAGACTTTGTTAGAGATGTACCGTGTTGACGATAACTTTAAAATTTCTGTTAAAAGTGGAGGAAATGGGTTTTGTAGTTTCTAAGTTAAACTGTAAAATTTTGGTGCACAATTTTTCCAGAAAATGTTCAACGTTAAAAATAGCAATCGATTTAATAAATCAGAATAATTTAGCGAAATTTTGAAAGAATGCCATCAAAATTATTGTTACAATACGTCAAAAATTTCGCAACACTCGCTTCAAAAATATTTGTCTAATAGAATCATCAACAGACAAAGGAGAGACAAAAACGTAATTCTAGGAAGCATGAAGCTTCGAGAAAAAATGTATTAGCCATTCGCTAATTACGCTTACGAAGTAAAAATGAAAAGTACTTGCGACCTGCAACATTAAAAACTGAAAAGCCTATTTTTGTTAGAAATCATCAAGTTAGTTAACATTATTTCTACTTTCAATATTCCTCGACTGAAAACCAGTTCCTAAATCATCTGTCTTAAAACCCAAACGACAGGAACAAAAGTTCCATTCTTTTTGCTCGATAAATCGCATCGTAATGCCACGTACCTACACGGGGTGTTCCCGATTTCATGCTTCCCACAAAGAAATCCGTTGTTGTGCTCTCGGCGGTTTATTACACTCGATTATTCTCTTTTAGGGCAAAATTCTGATTGCGAAGAAAGCGACACAGAATCGGAGCCGGGAATACCGCTCAAAAGAAAGCAAAGGCGTTCCAGGACGACTTTCACCGGCGAACAACTCGAAGCTTTGGAACGAGCTTTCGGCCGCACGCAATATCCAGATGTCTACACAAGAGAAGAATTAGCGCAGAAAACAAAGTTGACTGAAGCTAGAGTGCAAGTGTGGTTCTCAAATCGCAGGGCGCGTTTGCGAAAACAGTTGAATTCGCAGCAACTCAACCCTTTCAATTCCATGTCGTTGCCGTCAGCGTTTCCGGTGCAGCACCAGTACGGGGATCCTGCTTTTAATCAAGTGAGTTGAATTCGGTTGCAATATTTCCAACGTGAACACACCGTTGTCCGTCAGACCTAATAACAACAATCCGCTACATAATAAATTTACTTGATTGGAAATTTCTTGTTAAAGGCTAAGACGAAAATAACAACAATCATATCGTTTTATGAGCAGCACCATGTACAATTTCTAAATTTCATTAACAACAAAAGAATTTTGCGAGATAATAGAGTTATAAAAGTAATCCAACACACGTTTAGTTGTTTACTAATTTTAGAAACTGATAAAAGCAATTGTTTCGTTCTAATAATGAGAAAAATTTACAACACAATGTTTATGCATCGTGTGAGGTTAAAAACGGTTGATTACTAACAAGTTTGCAAAATGCTGAACGTTGATGTTAGATTAGAAGATTGGTTTATGTTCAGTTTTAATTTGTGAGAAAATGTTCATTTTAACTTAACATCTGAGGTGGTCGTGAATATGAAGATGAGGTGCTCTTCTATCCGGAAAACTTTTTACATAAGACTGAAAATCAACGATATTCAAAAACTCAAAAAACATCAAAACTTTGATGACTATGATTGAAAAATGAATCTACGAAACCTCATCAGAAAATATATTTTGGGTTGCATCTTCGGTTTTATTGGCTTCATCCTGTATAACATGTAAATCATAATGGATACCACAGATTTCACATTATTTAATATCATCTGAACAACAAATGACTTAATTTAGCTACAACTGAAGCTGTGGTTGTTTTGCGACCAACAGCTGTTCACCATTCAATACCCACAATCGAGTTGTTGATTAGCCTTTTAACAGTGTTAAATAAAAACATTCAAGCATCGGTAATGGTGAATTTCTCACCTCTGTTTCCATATTCTCTTACATTGTGCTGCTGTGGACCTACTACGGTTCGACGATGTAAACATCAGTTTTTCAGAACCGGTCTTCAAAATCACTCATCTAATGACGATTTGATTTTATGAACAATAAAGCTCAGATCTTGCAAGGAAACAGTCAGAATAGATGTTTCTTAACACCGCCAAAACCCACTTAAACTCTTTAGAACGAAACTAATTATATTTTAATGATCCAAAATGTCTCAATTTTTCGCTTCTGACATGACTTTCTTTTCTTCGCAGAGCACTTGGGCGCAGCAGAGCTACGCGTCAGCAGCGCTAAGCGGTAGCGCGCTACCCCACAGCGCGCTGGCCGCGTCCGGCACCAGCTTGGGCGCGACAAGTACCAGCGGTACCACGTCAACCCCCAACACCCTGTACAACAGCTACAACTCCAGCAGCAGTCTCGAGCAGAGTAATGTACTCAACAGCGCCGCAAATCAATTCGGTTACAACATGACCCAAGTCTCGCCCAATCAACACAGCGTCTCGCCGGTTCAACAAAGCGCCGTGTGGACGAGGCACGCTCAAAACAATAAAGTCGCCGAGAATCTGAGCACCTGGCACGAGAATTATAGGTGAGTTGTGAATAATAATGATGGAAGTCGACACGAAAACGACACGAGATAAAACGCAAATTAAAACGGCACCGTCGATATTCGAGCACCCATAATTCATTGTCGGATGGTGTGGGCAAAGAAATCGAACGGGCTCCGACTTGCACGTACGGTATTGTACAGCGCCGATGTATTAATCATAATTTATACACTTAGTGTCGGGCTGTCATAATAATCAATGAAATTTTTAGTATGACGGGGAGAACGTCAATTGCGACAACGGCAGATTTACGGTTACCTATTGACGTGTGGCGAGAAGGTTCACGGTTTTCTCGAGTACGCAGCGAAATGATGGAATGATGGGTGTTATGTGCGGGATTTTTGTAAAAAAACACACAGTCAGGGTTACAGTGACATTAAGTTGAAGTTGTAATATTTCATTCGTGTGATCTAACTAATTTTGGTTTGGAGTCTAGTATTTCATAAGATAAGGACGGGGTTTATTTAAACTCTTACAAAAAAATTTATTCTGATTATTTGAGTTCACACCTTCCTCTTTCATCTGTTCACACCTTATTATTTTATTTTACCTTGTACTATACAGTTACGTCATAATCTATAAAATTATAGTACTTTAAGAAACAACAGACTATTGTGCACTGTCAAAACAACTGCATGAGATAGTGGAAACCGTCATTATTTAGTGGTTGGTTGAGTGTGACACGCTTTCAGGAAATCGAAACCGAATTATCAATCAATAAAATAATATCGTCGTGCTTCACTGCATATGTACAAGTGTAACTATATTAACGTCTGTTTTTAAATTGGTATCAGAGGAGCGGTAATAACTAGGTATAAAATTTCATTATGAATCTAAAACCCATAGAGCAACTTAATAATAATGAAACACTAATTAATTTAATTCTAAATTGGACAAAGAGTCTATGGAAAGGGTTATATCCTGCAAAAATGCCCAATTACTCAGCTTCTGATGAGGGAAGTGCCACTGACGTTTGCTTCCTCGATTTTCAACTGACTGCTGTACCGCGGATCAGAAAAACATATCCAGTGTAGGACTTCCTGTTGATATAACAGCTGCTCCGGTCCGCATTCAGTGTACATTATCGGAAGTTTGCTGCTTCGAGAGTACACTAGGTTCTGGGGTGCGATTTTGTTTCTCGATCGAAAAAAACCCGTTAGCGATAAAATCTCGTTTGCTGATTGGTTGAGATGCTACATTTCTGTCACATTTCTCGATTCTGTCACGAAATCAAGTCTTCTCGATGGCTCTGAGTAAAGTGATAAATTTTGGAGACATAACCTCGAAATTTATGTCAAAATAGAAGTTCAGAATCGTAATTCTGAGTTGTAAGTTCTTAAAATTAAGGTAATTGTAAACTTTTGAGCAATTAATAAGCTTATATGCAAATAAATGCAAACTTTTGCATTTAAAAGCTACGTAATGGCATTTAATTTATCACTTCGATCGATAAAGGTCTCTGTTCCTTTAAGATTTTGGACTTTCTTCGCGGCCTTTCAGTGGAGTTCTTCACGACAGTTGTGAAATTGACTAAGATAGCTAACGGCGTGAGTTATATCCTCCTGTCCCTATAGATAAATACATCAGCCCACCAAGAAGTTCTCGATAAAGGAAGTCCTTCGGGTACGCACTTTCTGCGCTGCCTTTAGTAAAATTGATTGCAACGGTGCAGATATCGCGGTACAATTATTCATCTTGAATTTCACTAGTATGTGGCCTATACATATATCCCCTCTGGCTCAAAGGATGTAATTCTCATTTCAGTCAAACTGGGGATCTCAACAGTACTTGACCTCAAAATTTCGGCAAAGATTATTTAGTCGCTCAATTTCGGTCAATGATGATGATGCTGATGATGATGATGATGATGATGAAACTTTACTTGGATAGGACTACCCCACGAGTTCGAGGTTCGTCATCCAAATGATCGTTCCAAGCTCTGCCCGCTTGTGGTAGACCATAAAAACCCTTTCTTAGTAAACAGACAATGTCGCCTTTACGCTTCTGATCCGGCATCTTCCTTGCTTCTTCCTTGATCATCATCTCCTTCGTTGCGGTTCTTGCGATGTGGTCAAGTATCTCTTCTAAATGTTTCGAAGCTTCCATAAAGATCTCTTTTTAGATAATTCCATTCAGGTAAGCTGTTGTTATATCGAACTGTCGAATTTTCAATAATTTAGAAAGAGCTACGGAAACCGCAGCACGTAACCTGACCTGACCTGACCTGACCTGACCTGACCTGACCTGACCTGACCTGACCTGACCTGACCTGACTTGACCTGATCTGACCTGATCACGAGAGTACATCTCTTGTGAAAATAATTATTTTGCAGAACAAATTTGCTTCCAATAATAATGTGCTGACTATGCGGTCTGTCCACAAGCCACCAAGTATTACTTTTAATTAAAGCCTTAACTTCAGAAGTTATGACATCTATCTATTCTGGATAGTCGGGTCCAGAGAAGGATTTCAACGTAAAAATCTTATCGACATCTGTAATGACTGATTCCAGAAAAACTTGTTTAACGTAGTTCTATCGTAGTTGTCCCGGTCGTCCAATTCTGATGAACCTTGTGGCGGCACAATAATACGTAGTGTAAGCGAGGAAAGATAAGCCTTCTCTGTAGTCTAATGGTTAGGGCACCCGCCCGGCAAGCGGTAAATGTGCGGTTCGATTCCCACCGTAGGAGCAACATTTTTCTTCGCTTATTACAACCTGAATCTCGTTCTCTCTGGTTCTCCTAGACAACCCCTGAATACTTCTTCCTCATTCGATTCGGCTTGCAGCTCAATTTCCTCAACATATTTCTTAGGAATTTCTGGGTCAAACCAATTCTGCCCGACGTTCTTCTCGTTAGGAAAATTTCGATGATTCTCTAAGAATTTCACGTCTCTCGTAACTTTCATTTTTCTGGAATCCGGCAGCCATATTCGATACGCCTTTGACTAATTACTAATTACTAATTACCACACAATCCTGTGCTATTCTAAATCTAGTACAGAGTCCTTCCCTCGACCTTCTTTGTTGGGCATCGGTTTTTGATGTGGCACAGTGATGCAGTTTCGCCCACAATGACGATGACAGATCGAAGAGGATTAAGAGGCACCGAGCCATTTGGATCGACGTTCTATGTTCCCCTCTGTCACCCTGTTATGTTGCGGCGTATAGGAGGCCGTGAGTTATGTTAAATGGCTTCTGATTTTAGAAATTTATTAAATTCCACATTCACGTGCTCGCCACCGTTATCGAACTGAACTTTCTTGATGGATATACCGTGTTTCTTCTGGATGAGCACCTTGAATCCCTTAAACTCTTCAAATGCCCGGACTTTTGTTTTTCATGAATCGTACCTCGGTCCATCATGAGCAGACACCAGTGAAGATGATTCAAAGAAACTCTCATCAGGTCACATGTGCCTCTGTGTGTATCAGTTCCAACTTGGTCGTGCTTCGGCCTTTTTCTTTCGGTGAACAAACTTCGCAGCTCACATCTCCGGTCTTACCGGGTAAGGTTACACCATGAATAGCTCTGGTCTTCGATGCATCGACGAGGTTCCGAAATTTCACAAGGGCCTCCATTCTTCTGTAGTAGACTTGAAGACGATCTTTGACTAGATCTTTTTCTTCACCACAAATACACCAATTTGACAGGTTTCGGTAGATTCACCTTTTGACATAGTGCAAATCTTCGACTCACTTTATAATAACTTTGTTCATCGGGCTTGTTATTTATGGAACAGCACTTCGTATCCTTTGTCCGTGATTTTGGAAACCGATGATAGTTTATGTCGGAGATGGAGAATTTGCAACATATCGAACACCTTTACATCGCCATTTCTCTTATTTTTAATTATGTTAGTCCCTTTCCACTGTCAAGACACCAGTCACTCTCGGTCACCTTGCTTACGTTCTGACACACTTCAGCTATCACCTCGCTTGATAAAGGACCTACACTTATAGACGTGTTATCGTTCACGTTTTTGAGCGGACGCTGCGATTGTCTGTGTCCTTGTTGCTGACACTTGAAAATGAAAGTCTTCTTCCTTTTGTCTTTCTTCACCTCATTTGCTTTGTCCTTTTTGTTCTCGCGCTTTTTCTTTTGGGCGTTTTCCTGGTTCGAATTCGACGTTGTTGTACAGATTGTCACGTTTCAACAATGCGTCCCGATTTTCAATCATCAGTCTGATGTTTTCAAAACTTGCTGGCAAGCTATACAGCAACTTGATTATGAGTACATCATCGTTTATGTTTAGGTCTATCGCCGCTAGCTTACTGACCGAATCAAAAAATTCACGCATGTATTCTTGAATGTCGTCACCTTCAAGGTAAGATTCTTCAATAACGATGCTTGCCGTGCAGATCCTTTTGCCTAAAACGTATCCTCGAGCTTCTGCTACAGTTCACAAGATGATGTATAGTTCTTCCTCAATTTCAGCTTATTTGCTCCAATGAACAACATCAGGCCTGCTGCGTTATCTTGGACCAACGCCAATGTGACATTCGAACTGTCAATTTGGATTCTTTTTTTTTCCTAGCCAGTATACCAGACCCTGAAAATTTTGTTCTTAAATTTTGAGTGGCGTTTACAAACTTGCGTCGGCACGCAAAAACAAGCATTGTCAAAGAAATCGTTATTTATTTGTCTACGTCCTCCTTTTACTTGTTTTTGCCCCATAAATTTGCACTCACTTATTTTCTACAAATGATTAGCTACCTGTAAACCATTGTGTAGAAAGTGTCGTTTCCTAGTTCTAATAATAGTCTACATAAAATGGAACAAAAACAGCTTGATTAAATAATCTAAAAACGTTTTACTATGCGATTAATCTAAGACATCCGCCGTTCCTTCTACTCCCGTAAATAAGTAATGTAGCCAAGTGTTTTAGTTTGCTCGGTGAAGACGTAAAATGAAACGGAGAAGTCGAACAGCCACTTCTTAACATTTGTGTAAAAGACCTTTTGTTGTGACACGCTCCATTTGCATTTAATAACGTTCCGCGGCTATCAATAAAAACATCACTCTAATCATCCCACGCAACTGATTCAAAAGCGTTTTCTTGCCTACCACAGTTCCTTGTCCCAGAAGCCGGAAAAATCATCGGTTCTCCCACATCGCCACAGTGCTACAATTAAACATATTAAGTCCACTATATATAAACATAATTCATTCAGTAGCAATACCTTTACGTCTTAAGTAGAGAGCGGCGCGGCTATACATTAACTAACACCGTGTAATTTAGCTTAGCACGATTCCTGTTCAATGATTGCGTACTTTGGTAGTTCCGTCCAGAAAAAATACGAATGACAAGGCTCCAAGTGCAACCGTCCAAGGTGCGCGCCGCCTCCTGGCCTGGAAAGGATCATGCCCGAAGACGGCACTGATCGACTGTATAATTGGTGGGTGCCGGCACGTTTGAATAATACACTACTAGACGCAATTAATTTATGTCCGTGCTTCACATAATGAATGCCTTACCTTTATTTTACCGGGCTTAAATACGGTCTCTGGTTGTTTATTAAAATGCCGTAATTAATTTCGTTCGTTTTTGTACGCGGAGCGTGAGTACCCCGTTTGCCATTGCGCACAAATTACTCAATCAGTTAAATGCGTAGGTAGAAGAACGATTTATTGCCGGGCGAAGCTCAACCTGGACCTCATTGGCTGGTTCATTCATTAAAAGACTTCTTATCCTTTCACTCAACTATGAGCTATATTTTACTGTACCATAACTTCAATTATCGTTACGTGCGACCGCAAATGAGGAATCGACGTTCGAATGTTTTTTCGACGTAATATATATGCAAACGATTTAAACTCGAACACACCAGGCGAACATTTTGTTATTAATTTGTGACATATATTATATTTTTTCTGCGAGTTAGTGAACTTTGTTGTTAATTCATTGTTTGTATTTCAGCCTCTTCGCTGGTAGCCATTATGGGGCCCATTCGCCCGGCGAAGCCAAATCAGGATACCCATATTTAGGCACCATGGATATGTGTGCAAGTCGCGTGCACTGAAGAAAATTTTCTTCACGTCATCACATTCACTTGGCCACATTGCATCACGCTCTTGCTAAACTTGTACAGATAAATTAAGTGCTTGATTTTATTTACGTGTATTTATTTCAAACTGCACCTGGTACTATTAGTTCTAATCATTGTACATACTTGTGTAAAAGATAAGGCTCATAAATTTAGTTAATATCGGCTGCTAAGCTTTTAGACTTTTAAAGTTATCAATAAGCTCCGTCTATGAATTTTCGTCAACTGTGTAAAAAGTAAAGTAATAAATTTTTTAAATATTTTTGGTGTGTGATTCTCCTATATCCCTATATAACCATGCGTATTACTACTATGCAAAAGAAAAAAAACACTCAGTTTTTGTTTTCAAGTTGTTTAAAATGTGACAGGATAGTTCCGTAATAAGTTTTTCTTCTATCATATAAAAATGTTAAGTAATGGTTTCCACAAATTGAATGCAATTTTTAGTTTTAAGCGGAAAATCACGACAAATGTACATAACGGGTAAAATAATAAGAACGACGTATAAAAAATGTGTTTCACGAAACGTTCGCCGATGAATGGCAGCGGAATCGAAGCTGGAGAAAGGTTTATAAGTTCATAAATAATAATTTGTGGAAAATTGTATATTCCTGTATCCTAAGGCTAGATTGCTAAAACGATATTACCGATTCATAAAAAGAAAATTATACGTGAAACAAGAAGAATAGAAAAATACAATACAGTGTGGATGAGGAGACAGCTGTGTGTAGATTGTGGAATAAATTAGGTAAGGAATTCAAAAATACATCACGACAAAGTTTTACATTACAACCTTAATTTTTTACTTAATTTAAAAACAAACTTAAAAATTTATGGTTTTCGAAGTGGTAGGATGATCAACAACTTAAATTGCAAAACAAAATTGACGCATATAAATGGATGACGTAATTTTGGCGACATAAAATAAAATTTTCACTTTAGAACAGAAAACATACAATTTTAACTGCGTAATATAATTAAATAAACAAATGTGTAATAAGTTCATTAAAATTTCAGCGTAATTTACGAAAAATAAAAAAAAATAAAAATATGTAATAGCCGTTCTACGAACATGCTTAATCTGACGTTGTGTTGTAGTAATGTGTCGTGAAATGGAACGGAAATCAGGGCCCTCTGTGTGAAACAACATAAATGACATCAAAATTGTATTAAAAAACTGGTCCAACTAACAAAATGGGGAAAACACCGTTTACAGTCATTTTTTCTATTGGATGGCACAATATCTACTTTTAATTAACTTAATAATAGATAATTTTTTAATTGTTTATCAAATCAAGGTAAATCTTTGGAGTGGAAAGTTATTATTAAGTTACATTTTTATTTAACGCGTAGCAAGATATTTATTTTCACCACAAGTATAACACTGCATACAAAATTTTATTTTCTATTGGTACACCCACTATCCAATGAAAAACATTTGTGTAGGTTGATACACTTCGTCCACATCCATTTGCCGCAAGCCTGTTCGTTAGAATACGTCACAGACATTAACTTCTCAACCACGGTATTCTAAACAAACATATGATAAATACGGGATCTGAAGTTACAGGGCTCCTATAACTTCCTTCTATTGGTTAAAATACGACTGTGTTTGAAGACTTGATGAAACAGCATTTTCCTTGTTCCTTTTTGACCCAGCATTTACGTCTTGCCAAATTAAGATTTACTTTCACTCCAAAGCAATTTAGTGATGTAAACAAACAAAACCGAAAATAAAAATAAAACGACCAAAGTAGTTAAAATATACGTTTCAAAGGCGCTGAAAGCGTCAGAAGGCAATTTGGGCATTATACTTAACCAGGTAAAAGCATTTCGTCGTGAGTTGGTTTTACGCGAGGTCAAAATCCTTTTTTCCACCACTTTATCCTTTTATTCCTATTCGTAATAATAGTAATAGAAAAGGAGCCAAGTTATAATTTTACTGATTTAAATGGCTCGGTGCAAAGTATCCATCACTCAAACCTCTCTTTCCTGCTTAGTAAAATTAGATCGAAAAAGCGGCTACCTGTATAATTTTCTAAAATAGCGCTTCGGCGCTATAATTATACATCGATCGGAATTATCTAACCTTATTTCGAAACGATATACCTTTAAAAGCCAATATTTAACAACTTTTTTTCTTTTTTCGATGGTACGGTATATTGGTGGTCCACCATTAACTAATTATATGGATTTAAAGGACTGTTATTCGAGGCTCTTTGCCCAAGGCCTGTTACGAAACGTAGAGAATGTAAAACAAAGCGAAAAATTGCGGATTAGGAAAGAGTATCTTTCACCAAAATATATCGAAATAAGAAACATCTTTCAGTTGGTCGAATTTTAGGAGTGAACGAAATGTTACCAAAAAAACGTCTCCGGATATCACAATCAAATTAGTAAAGTGGCTCGATGCTATCGATGATCTAAAGAAGATCGATTAGATCGGATTCAATTTTAAACAGTTCACAACTACTACAATGTATATTGAAAAAGACTGGACTGAAATTTAGCTCAACTGACACTACGAGAAATAATTTAAAACGACTTCAGTCTGCACTATTTTAAAACCAATGGTTAGTCATTTCCCGAATGAAAAATTTCAGCAGTTGCTATGAAAAGAATCATCAAGAGACTTTTCAGTGATTCATCCAGAAAATTACGTCATTTAAAAGATGTTTCAATTTTAATAATTTACTGGAAATACAGAACTTTCGCAAAGAATATGACCGAAGAACTGCTAAAAGTGTGCCGCGTGTTTAAAGCAGGATTTGGCAAATTCAAGTATTGTGCAACAAGACTTGGTATTTTTCTACTTCATGATATTCGTTCCGACCGCTTTCGATAAACATTTTCAAGCGGAAAACTTATCAGGATACAAGCGTGATGTTAAATTAGATGCTGTCAGAAACATTTATTTTCTAACGATATAACAATAGTTCTGAGCATGACTATATATACCAAATGTAGACAGTTCCAGTGTTTTTATACCAACACATTTTTTGAAAAATCCTTCCCAACAAAACTAAAATTCATAACCTAATTACGATACAATTAAATACCCCCCACCGAAAATAACGAGAACCAAATTAACCGTGACAACCCTGTCGCCGTGCCGACACTGCGCAAACTCGAAAAATCTATTTCGTATTAAAAATATGCACCGTCGGTCGCTTATAAAAGCCACCTGTGTACCACATTCTTTGACAATTATTTGCGCTCCCCGATTCGGCACGCATATCGGAACAATCTTCAAGAACACAGAAGTTCAAAGAGTCGGACGTCGAGCGGGGGTGGAAACGATGCAGATTATTGCTCAAATTTAAAACTATGTTTTATGGACCGACACGTGACTCCAAGTCGACCGCCGCTTTTATTACTGGGCCGCCTCTGGTCGATTCTCAAATTAAAAAAATAAAAATAAATCCAGCAAGCCGCTTTCAGCTTGGTCGTGCGGGCCCCTTTAGAGAAGCAAAATGCTGAACCGCTGAAACAAACCTTGAAAAAATATATGTATTCCGTGCGGTGTGTAATGCAGACTTTTTTTTCCAGGAATAGTAAATATAAATTTTATTGCAGTACGAATGAAAAAATGGTTGGAGCTTCGCCGAATATAAATATGATGGGCAACAAAATTTTTATGTTTGTGCCATTATTATTATTTTTTTCAAAACAATTTTGTATAAAATAAAACATAATAGAGGAAAAGTTAATTGTTAAAGTTTCCTAAATGTCTTTTTGAAAAGAGAATTTGTTTCTTGAAATAAGTACAAGTATTACAGAAAAAGGTATCATATCAAAAGATGTGCAGAGAACGGAAAGTGGTCATTTATATAATAATATCAAGGTAGGTATAACTGTAATAGTACGCAAGAATTGGCGGTACGGACAATGTAAAATATATTTAAAGCAGATAATCAACGAGAAAAAATATCCTCTCAGCACTAATAATAAGCTTAAGTTCAAGTGTTAATGTTTATACATTGAAAGAATGTCACGTAGGAATTAGTCTGATTTGAATGATTTTGTCTCCTCAAAGCAGAGGACAAAAAATTATTGATTAAGCCACAGTCGAACAAAATGTTTTGAATATTATAATATTCAGCTACATAAGCCTGACTCGTAGACCTATATAGGGACACTCTTCTTTGCAGATGAAAGAAAGGTCGACGGTTCGATCCCCGGCGGCATGTCCAATTTTTTTTATTGATCAAATCAGGAACGATACATCCCATTATTATATTATGACCATTGTACTGTACGTGTCGGAAATGACATACGTGTATTTCCTGAAATGTTGGTCAGAACATTTTCCAATAGGAAACTTGCTAGAAATAGGTGTAGCCTTGCGCAATTGTTTGATCGTTCACCTGATTTTTCCTAAACGTTCAGTCTACTGTACTCCCAAAATTAATACCGGGTGATTTTTTAAATTTCTGCTCTAGTTACGTATGACGGTTATGTCAGCAGTGAAACATATCGCGTAACTTCAACTCGAAGGTTATGTTTTGGTTTGCCTGAATATCCAACCCCATTTAGAAAAAGTTAGGTTATTTTAAGTTGATGCCACGAAGATTTCAAATGTTCTAGAAATCATACCAAATCTTTTATTTATAACAATTTAAATCATGAATACCACACTTACTTTACAACAGTTGCTAGACCCTTAGCCCTTAGGCCCTAGACACAAATTTACTCTTCGTTTCATAATTTCGAACACTCGGACAAAAACCTCTGCAATTCGGGCTTTTAAGTCGTGATTATTGAAGTTGAGAAGTCCTCGAATAGCCTTGATTCACTCGCAAAGACAATAAAAAGCACTTGAAAAAACAGGCTTTTGGTAAAAATCGAAAAACTTATAGGATTAATGAAAATACACGTGCAAACAACACTCGTAATTGTAATATGCTGTATCTATAGCAGTTAAAATATATGTTCACATTTGTATAATATTCTGTCAATACGGGTGTAATCGAGTCTCCATTTCCTATCAACGGTGGAGAGGTGCGAACCGACACTCCGTGCCAGACCAAATATAAACAAGTTAAACATTTACAACGCGAAAAAACAACAACATTAATTTTTTTTTTCATTTGCCTTCTTGTTTATTTTGTTTTTTTAAGTAACCTTCTTCAGCAAAAACTAAATTACATATAGTCAGTGCGAATGGTAGTATGACTATTTCGTCTTGGAAGGGTACATTTTACAATTTATAGCTCCATT